GCTCGTCCTAAAATCAAAACAACCGGGAAGGTGAAAAACCGGGATCCAGATCCACAGCCAGGCCTGGAATTCTGAGGCTGATCCCTGAAAACCGGGCCTGGGTCTCCTCCTCCTGTTGTTCCTCCTCCGTAGGATGACGCCTCTCCTGGAACTCTTTAATCAGTCTCGTGATCTTCTTAACCTTGGTGGGGTGGAAATGTTTCAGGATTCCAGGTTGGACTTCCTGTGAAGGCTTCAGCCTCACCTTTGTGACATCCAGTGGCTTTTGTCACCCCCAGGGGTGGCCTGGCTGCCCTTGGACCATCAAGGGATTGCTCTGTTTTATTCTGTTTAATTCTGTTTCATTTCTCAATAAAAAATCTGTCTGAATTGCATTGGCGGCTTCCTGGTTTTCCTTTCCAWRGAATCCSAGGATRGYTCAGGTTGGARAAGMCCTCCAAGGTCATCAGGTYCAACCTTTGATCCCCACAAATYGGGGCCACCYYGAAGCCCCCCAATCTCCCAGTGGGTTCAGAAGGAAAAAGGGGGAATTTGGGTTGGATTTGGGAMGGAATTGTTCCCTGTGAGGGTGGGGATGCCCTGGCAGGGRTTATTCCATGGATTCCCCATCCCTGGGAGTGTCCAAGACCAGGTTGGATGGGGTTTGGGGCACCCCGGGATAGGGGATGGTGTCCTTGACCATGGCAGGAGGTAGAATGGGATTGTATTTCTATTTCAACATTTTAWTTCCATAAYAAAATATTCYRATATTTTGGATATTTTGGRATYTCCACCCTTGCYGAGGGTCASGATAATTCCCTCAGGGATATTCAAGGAGCAACAGGAAATGACCCCTCATAACTGGCCTGGCTCCAGGGGTAAACTGGTTTTGACTGGGAGCTGCACCAGTCCATCCCCGGAGGTTGTCCCCACCTAAATTATTCTGTTTTGTTTATTAGAACGGATAACATGGGATGGATCAGGAAGGGGAAAATGCTTCATTGAGGAATTTCAGGCAAATTATAATTTGTATGAAAGCAGAATTAATTCCCTTCTGATGGGAATTAATCACTGCATGAGGATTCCCTTCTTTCAGACCGGTTTGTAACGATGAAAATAAAAATAAAAACCAGAAGSCGGGGACTGTGATGCAACAGGGTTTTAATACAAACAAAAAGTGGGACGGGGCAGTGAAGAGTCAACAAACAGAATCTCCATGTCAGAATTCCCATTTCAGGGTTCCCATATTTCAGAATTCCCATTTCAGGGTTCCCATTTCAGGGTTCCCGTTTTGGAATCCGCATTTCAGCCGGGACTCCAACCCAGCGGTCATTCCAAGACGTTCTTTTTCCAGCTGGACACTTTCTCGGCCAAGTCCCATGGCCGGTTCGACTCTTGGGGTTCGGGGAGTACAAAACACAAACAGGGGACACGGGGGAGGGAACATCGGGGTCCTAAGCCTTGGATAAAGCGCGGCGAGACCCRAACAACCGCGGCTCCCGCCGGATGGGCCGGAGCAGAGGCCACTCGGAACGCCTGGGTGTCAACAACAACTACTTTTTGAATCCTATTTTTCCTTYGGCTATCCCCCAGTTCTCCCAGGGTTAAAAAGGCCCGTAGTTCCCRTAGCGATACCTGTAATAGCCCCGGGAAAAGTTGGGGTAATAATTCCTACCGAAGCCGGACGAGTAGGAGCCGCGGTAGAGGCTGCCCAGACGGGACATCCCGCCCCCGCAGGAGCCCTCCCCGCCGTAGGAGCCGCCTCCCATCCCTCCGCAGGAGCCACCCGAGCCCATCCCGTAGCCACCGCCGCCACCTCCGCTCCCGCAGGAGCCCATCCCRCCCCCGGATCCCATTCCTCCTCCRGATCCCATTCCACCTCCCATTCCWCCTCCAGATCCCATTCCACCTCCCATTCCTCCACCTGACCCCATTCCACCACCCGACCCCATTCCACCACCTCCAGAYCCCATTCCRCCACCTCCAGACCCCATCCCRCCCCCTCCGGAGCCCATTCCCCCKCCGATTTGGGGGATGTCGGTGCCCACGATGCTCTCCTGGGGGCAGGAGCTGATGATGGGGCCCGGGAAGGTGATGACCACGGGCGGGGCGTAGACGATGGCTCGGGAATCTCCGCAGGAKGCGACGCAGGGCTCGCTGCAGCTGTTGACGTAGGGTTGGGGACAGGTCACATCGCAGGCGGAGGCGCAGCCGGCGCTGAGCAGTTGGCCGTAGGTCGACATCATTCCCGATCCCACCTGGAAAGAGGAGAAATTCCCAGCCCGGTGAAGGCTCAGCCAGAGGATGGGGAAAAATCCTCAGTTTCGGGGTTATTTGTGGGTTTGATTGTGTAATTGCCACTTTTTGTGGAGCTGGAGGTAAAAAATGAACCAGAACTTCTCCACGAGGGAGGAAATTCGGGTAAAAAGAGGTGATTTTGTCCCTAAATTCTTAAAGATGAGACTGAAACATTCAGTAAGAAACAGGAGGTGGATGGGGGGACGATTCCCCTTGGAATTTGCTGGAAAAGGTTATGGGTATGGGGATTTGTTGGATGGCGTTGGGATGGCCAGATGTGTGGGTTTACATAATCTCAATATATGAATTAGTGGTTTAAAAAAATCAAAATAATAATTTTTAAAAATCAGAGAAATAATCGAAAAATTGACATTCCTTAGGCAGAACCCGACCCGCTCTCCCATAATGGCACCGATGGAAGGAGAGGAATTTGATGGGAGATGATTTTGCTCCCACTCCTCTCTGGTGCTTCATGGAATCATAAAATGGACCTTAAAGGTCCGGTTCTGACCTTCGCCATGGACAGGGACACTTTCCACAGACCCCAAACCCCGTCCATCCCAGCCTGGGACAATTCCAGGATGGGGCAGCCATGGATTCTCTGAGAATTCCCTTCCAGGGCCTCCTCACCCTCCCAGGGAGGAATTCATCCCTAAAATCCCCCCTAAAACTCCCGTCCATCAGCATGAACCCATTCCCCTTTTTCCCGGTGCTCCATCCCTTGGGAAAAGCCTCTCCCCACATTCCCTATAGCTCCTTTGGGTCCTGGAAAGTCACAATGGGGTCACCCCAAAATTTCTCTGTATTTTTGCCCCTGAAATGAATTCTGGGAAGAACCTCCCTGTCCTTCTCCCCCATCATCATTCCCTTTCCTTTTGGGAACCCATCCCACCCCGATCATGGCTTTGGAGTGACCTCTCCCCATTAAAAAAATGCTCAAATCCTAAAAACTCCTCCCATTGACGCTTTTACAACTCCCACTTTTTTCCTCCCTTTTTCCACCTGAAATCCAAGCCCTGCTTCCCACATCCAACGGGGATTGGAGCATCAACCCTACCCTGATTTAGGATMGGATATAAAACCCTGGATGAAAGCWCCCCATAAAACACAATTAGGGCTAATTAGGAGCTGATTCAGTAAAAACCCGACTTACCGAGGCGGCGAAGAGGACGAGTCAGCAGAGGCAGCTCCGGGGCCGCCCGTCGGGAGCACTTTTATATCCCATCACAGGGGAAAGGAAATCGGGAGCCACCTTGACGCAACCCCCTTGGGAAATGGAATGTTTTTGTCCCGYTCCTTGTCGCAACCGTTTTGGGAAACGCCTTCGGATTAAGGAGATAATTCCCAGTCCCACACAGGGTGCCGTGGGTGCTTCACCCAGCCCGGGCCTTCGCTGGGAGTTCCACTATGCAATGAGGGGCATTTCCCCTAAAACAGGGGCATTTCCCCTAAAATAGGTGGATTTACCCTAAAATAGGGGAATTTTCCCTAAAATAGGGGGATTTTTACTAAAATAGGTGGATTTACCCTAAAATAAGTAGATTTATCCTGAAATAGGAGGAATTTTCCTATAATACGGGTATTTTCACTCAAATAGGTGAACTCTCCCTGAAATATGAGGATTTTCCCTAAAAGAGGTGGATTTTCACTAAAATAGGCAGATTTACCCTGAAATAGGGGGATTTTCCCTAAAATAGGTGGATTTTTCCTAAAATAGTTGGATTTACCCTGAAATAAGTGGATTTTCCCTAAAATGGGTGTATTCTCCCTGAAATAGGAGGATTTTCCCTAAAATAGGGAGATTTTCACTAAAATAAGTGAATTCACCCTGAAATAAGGGGATTTTCACTAAAATATGTGGATTTTCCCTAAAATGGGGGGATTTTCACTAAAATCTGTGGATTTTCCCTAAAATATTTACTTTGTGGATCTGTGGCCACTTTGTATTCACCCTGTGGGTTTTTATGGAATTTGTGTCTTGGGGACTGAAATTTCCACCATCCAGTGAGGGGGATTTTCCCTAAAATAGATGGATTGTCCCTAAAATATTCACTCTGTGGTCACCCCATGGGTTTTTATGGAATTTATGTCCTGGGACAGAAATCCCCACCATTCAATGAGGGGGATTTTCCCTAAAATGGGTGGATTTTCCCTAAAATATTCACTCTGTGAGCAAGGCCCAAAGCCTGAAAAATATTGTCATATTGCGATTTCCACGCTCAAATTTACATTTTTAAAAACTCCCTTTTCCTCCTCAGTGGCGTTGAATTGTTAAAAACGAAAGGAAAACACAAASAGCCAAATAAATGATTTCATTTTTATTCCGTGACTGAAATCAATCTAATGACACGAGGAATGCGTGGAAGCAGGAGATAGACACAGAACAGCCTGACTCACTTAATCTGTGGCAATTAAAAGCACCTATTAATTACCTTGATTGACAGCTGAAGCAATTCCAGGTGTAACCAACCCCAATATTTGAGAGAAGTCCGTAAGAACCTCATCCCATTGTCCTGGAGCTTTTCCCAATGGGGAGAAAATTGGTTTAAAACACAAAATTGCCAAAAAAACCCACTGTTTGGTCTCTGTATTTTTATTTTTTTTTCCTAGAAGCTTTAACTGGGATTCTTTGTGGAATTTCACGGCTCTGATATTCCATGGAGATCCTTCAAAAAAAAAAAAAAATCAGATCCTGAATGCAAACCTCTGGCACCGGCCCAAAACTCCTTTCACAAGCCCTGAACCTGCCTGAGATCAAAGGGTTCTTCAAGAGATAAGAGAAAGAGATAAACTCCCTTCCCAGCTGGAAGAGAAATCCTTCTGGAAAGATAAATTAAAACAGAAAAACAAACAAACAAACAAACAAAAAAACCCAGGAATTTTGGCTTTTTCTGTAGGGGATTTCCAGGAAAAAAATTGCTTTTTTTTCACATTAAAAAAAAAGAAAAAAAATTTAAGGGCTGAGGAGCTCCCGACTCACCTCAAACCAACCAAACTCCGGGGATTTATCCGGGATATTCCTCATCCTGTTTTTTTTTTTTACCCCTGGCAGGATGACGATGATGATGCTGTTGTTGTTGTTGTTGTTGATGATGCCGACGTTGTTGTTGCCGTCTGTAAATTGATTTTCGGGCTCTCGGAATTCCAGGGCTCAGCTCTGATCCTTCCCGTCTGCTTTGCATATGGAGATGGAATCAGAGGAAGCTGCCGCGGCTGCTTTTGCCCTCCCCTGTAATTTTCCAAATTGCGCTCTGGCAGAGGAGAATCATCGCTGTCATCACCGCGGATCGGAGCAGAACGCGATCCCAAATTCCCATTTTTTTTTTTTTTTCCTGATTTTATCAGGGCGATTCCAGATTTGGAAAAGGGAAAACCGACAACAAGCAGGAAAATAAACAGGATAAAATTTGGGAATGGCTGCGCGAAGTTAGGGCTGGTTTGGACCCTGGAATATTCATTTTTGGGGGAGGTTTCTGAGCTGTCACCCGGAATCCAATTTCCCAATAAAGAAATTATGTTTTGGGTGGTTTTTTCCACAATTGGATAATTTTATCCACAATTGGATAATTGTGGGATTTAAGGGGAAAAAAGGGATTAAATTGAATCACCACTGAAATTCATTCGTTAATTGTGTTTTCAGTGCTGGTTTATTGGTCAGACCAAGCAGGATCTCATTTCTGTCAAATTCTGTAATTTCTGTAATTCCATCTGTTTATTTATGTTAATTTCTGTCCAATTCTGCCCATCTCTATTTATTTATGTTAATTTTTGTCAATTTCTGTCATTTTCTGTCCATTTCTGTCATTTTCTGCCCATTTCTGTCCCCTTATGTTAATTCATCTCCATTTATCTCCATTTCTGTCCATTTATGACTCAATTCCCTCTGTTCAATCCCATAAAAAATGAATTTTTTGAAAGCCTTTCCTCTCCCTGCACTTGCAGCTGAGGGAAACACTCGAGTCTTGTTTCCTTTTAGATTTACATTTATTTATTTTTGCATTTATTAACTTTTACCATTCCTTAGATCCCAAAGCCGCCGCTCGTTCCCGCTGTCAATCATCCAACAAAACCCAACAATTCCAAGTTGTGTCACTTGTGGGATGGGAAGGAGGATTTTGGGATGGGAATGAGGATTTTCAGGATGGGAAGGAGGATTTTGGGACAGAAAGGTGGATTTCGGGATGAGGAGGATTTTGGGATAGGAGCTGGCCTTTGGAGGGAGCTGGAATTTTGGGAATGACGCTGACCTTAAGCCACTTCCTGTTCCCACTTCCCCGAATTTTCGGGTCCCTCTTTTCCCTTTTTTTTGTCTTTTCCACATTTTTCCCTCAATCTCTTTTCCCAGCAAATCCCACAGGGAATCATTTCCCGTAAATCTCCCATTTCCCACTGAATGTTTCCAGCCTCATCCCAACGAATTTGGGGACAAGCCCGCCTATTTTTACATTTTCAAATGAGAGATTTCCTCTCTCGTGGAGAAGTTTGGGAACATTTTTCGCCTCCAGCTCCACAAAAGGTGGTGATTAAGGAATTGAACCCACAAATCACTCCGGAACTGAGGAATTATATCCCTGCCACCACCCGAGGTTTGCTGGGAGCTGGGGAATGATGACAGCGCCCCGATTTCCCAGGAATCTTTAATCTTGGAAACAAAACAGAGTTAATGCTCTGTAATTCCCGGGATAAAAACCCGAGGAATTGCAGCCCCGGGGGGAAGCCTGGGGTGCCTGGGCNAGCTGGAATTTTGGGAATGACGCTGACCTTAAGCCACTTCCTGTTCCCACTTCCCCGAATTTTCGGGTCCCTCTTTTCCCTTTTTTTTGTCTTTTCCACATTTTTCCCTCAATCTCTTTTCCCAGCAAATCCCACAGGGAATCATTTCCCGTAAATCTCCCATTTCCCACTGAATGTTTCCAGCCTCATCCCAACGAATTTGGGGACAAGCCCGCCTATTTTTACATTTTCAAATGAGAGATTTCCTCTCTCGTGGAGAAGTTTGGGAACATTTTTCGCCTCCAGCTCCACAAAAGGTGGTGATTAAGGAATTGAACCCACAAATCACTCCGGAACTGAGGAATTATATCCCTGCCACCACCCGAGGTTTGCTGGGAGCTGGGGAATGATGACAGCGCCCCGATTTCCCAGGAATCTTTAATCTTGGAAACAAAACAGAGTTAATGCTCTGTAATTCCCGGGATAAAAACCCGAGGAATTGCAGCCCCGGGGGGAAGCCTGGGGTGCCTGGGCGTCATTTGGGTCTGTCCCAAAGTTAGGCCAGGTGTCCCTCTGGGGTCACCGCCCCAAAGTGTCCTCAGGCTCGGGGTCACCTCCCCAGAGGGGCCAGAAGTGTCCTGGGATCGTGGAATATCCCGAATAAAGAGGGAAACCCAAGGATTGTCACCAGCCAGGCACTGAAGTGTCCCCAAAGTGTCCCCAAATTGTCCCCGAAGTCTCATCCTGGGATTTTCTGGAGTTCCGGGGTCACCTGGAACCCCCAGGAATGGGTGAGGCTGAGGAAGGGATTTTGTGTGGAAAATCCCGAGGGAGCTGGGAAGGGGCTGATCCCGGAGAAAAGGGGGATCCAGGGGGGATTTGGGATCTGCCAGGGGGGATTTGGGATCTGATCCCAGGGAACGGGGCCGGGACAAGAGGGAACGGCCTCGAGCTGTGCCAGGGGAGGCTCAGGGGGGGAATTTGGGGAAATTCCTCCTGGAAAAGGGAAAAAACCTGCCCGGGGAGGGTTGGATCCCCATCCCCGGGGGTGTCCAGGGAATTCATGGAATTTGGAATCCCAGATGTCCAGGTGGGGACTGGACACAGCTTGGACTGGGTGACCTTGGAATTCTTTCCCAACTTCAGGGATTTTGGGATCCTAAAAAGCCACAGGATCCATTTCCCAGGAAGGTGGGAGCCCATGGATGGATTTTGGGGTTGTTTGGGGCATCTTGGACGTTCCACCCCRGCAAAGAATTAATTTAAATCCTTCATTAGCGCCTCTGGAATGAGCCAACGCCGCGGAGCCAATTCCCACTCCCGTATCGCCCCATGGCTCACCGAGGTGTGGTGCTCCGATCCAATTTAATTAATGAGAAAGATATTAATTAAATCTTCATTTGCCTTCGTTGCCTCATTAAAGTTGCTCATCTCAGCAAAATAACTTGGCAGCAGCCTGCGGCTTCCTTCAAGGATTAAACCCGGATCTGGTGGCACAAAATCCCAATAAATGAATTTATAGTTGGCCTTAAAAAGGGAAAAGAGTCTTTTCCCAGGAAAAAAATGGAAGTTGGATCACCCGGAGGAAATCTTGGAGTTTTTTCCGGCTGCAATTATTTGTGCAGCCCTGAATAAAA